TCGGCGCGGCGGCGGTGGCGGCGGCCGCGTGACGGGAGGGTGCGGCGGTGCGTGCGCTGTCGGTCTGGGGTCCCGCCGTCTGCGGCCGCTGCCGCCGTTTGCGCGCGGGAGCAGCGACTGGCGCCCTCGCCGTGCCTCTCCGAGAGGCGCGTCGCGGGTGTGTGTGTGTGTGTTTGCCTGTATATGCGTTGCCGGGATGTACATACCTATATACCTTTGCGTGTGTGGTTTTTTTTTTGCGGGTCCCAGTGCGTTCCCCGCGGTGCGTTTTTTGTTTGACTTTTCCGGGTGCGGCCGTCTGTCGGGTGCCCGTCGGCCGCCGTTGGGCGCTGGCCGCGTGCCTGCCGGCTCCCCGCGACGGCTGCGTGCCGGTGTGCGTCTTTTTCCCGCCGCCGTCCGTCGCGAGCGCGGAGGCGTCGGTGCGCCGGGTGTTTTTTTTTTTTGGGGGGGGTTCTGTTCGTTCGTTTGTTGGGGCGCTGACTGTGCGTGTGTGTTTGCTGCCGCTGGCGCTGCGACGTTTTTTGTTTTGTACCGCGTTTGTTTTGTTTGTTTTTGTTTTTGGGCATTTGATTGCTGCGTGTGATTCGGGCCTCCTCCTGCGTTTCTGCTTTTTTGCTTTGTTTTGTGATTTCAGTGCTTCTTTTGCGTGCGATGAGCGGCGTGGCGCGCCCCGCAGCGGGTGTTTGCCGGCCCGCCGGGGAGGCGCCTGCGGACGCGGCGTCGCCCACGTCGGTGTTGGCGCGGGGTGGTTTATCGTTTGCGTCTGTCGTGTTCGGCGGCGTTGGCGGAGCGGCGGCGCCGGGGACTTTGTTGGCGGACGCACGCGGGCCTGCGGCCGTGCAGGACGGCGCGTCTCTGCCTGCGCTCTTCTGGTGGTGGCGGCCGCCGGTGCCGTGCGGTAGTGGCGGCCGCGCAGGGGCGCGGCCGCTGCAGGTGGAGTCGGCGGTGTCGGCGGGGGCGGACGTGTCGTTTTTGTCGCGGCGCCGTGCGGGCCCTGTGCGGCGCGCCGCGGTGGTGCGCGAGGTGGCCGGAACGAACAGCGCGCGGCACGGCGTCGTGCATCCGTGGGCAACGCTGCGCGCGCCTTGCACCGCAGCGCAGGTGTTTCTCTTTCACGGTGAGTGGCACGTCTTGCACCACCCCGAGGGCGTTGTGCGGGCCGCGGCGGAGGGCCGCGGGGGCGCGTCCCCTGCCGCGGCACAAGGCAGGGGCGTGGACGGAGGCGCGGGCGCGGGCGCGGGCGCTGGTGCCGCATGGCGGCCTGAGGGGAGCCGGCGGCGGTTCGTCCGGCGGGGAATGCGTCGCGGCGGCGGTGGTTGCCACGGGGAGGGCGGCGGAAGCAGCGGCAGCAGCAGTGGCAGCAGCAGTGGCGGCGACGACGTCGCGGACGCGGCTGTGGACTACGCGGAGGCGCTGCTGCTGCCTGCCGTCCCTGCGCGAGCGGCCAGCGCGTGTGTGTCCGTGGCGTGCGGGGGGCGCGGGGAGGGCGGGGGGACGCTGCACGATGACGCGGGCAACGGGGTGAACTGCGGCTGCGCAGACGGCGGGCCAACGCAGCGCCGCGCCTCTGCGGGGGCAGCGCGTGGGGGCGCAGCTGCACCGGGTGCGCCTGCCGCGGCGGCCCTGCCGGCAACTTTGACCGCCGTGGGGTGCGGAGCCTTTTGCCTTCCGAGGACTGTGGCGGAAGGCGAAGGGGCCTCCCGCGTGCTGGCGCGCTGGGGCTTCGGCCCCGTAGCGGGCGAACACTCGGCGCGGGCGTGCGGCGGGGCGGCGTCGCGCCGGCTCCCTCTCGCGGCCTTCACGGCGCGGCTCTGCGTGGACGTTCTCCCGCGTCGCGGCAGCTGGTGGCCGCTCGAGCCCCCTCCCGCCGGCGGTGGGGGCGACACGACAAGTGACGACGACGACGACGACGACGACGACGTTTGCGGAGTGGCGCCGTGGCAGTTCGACGTGCCAAGAGGCGGGACCCCGCACCGCGTGGCGGCGCCCATGCCCCGTCCCCTCGCCTCAACGACGATGGGGATAACGTGAGAGAGGCCCAATGAGAGAAGTGAGGGAGAAAGAGAAGGAAGGCAAGAAAAGGGCGTGCGTGTTAGTTTTAATGTGCGTGTGTGTGTGTGCTGCTCTGCCGTGTCTCGGGCCTCATTCCCCCGCTGCGTGCGTGCGTGCGTGTGTGCAGCTGCCCGTGCCTCTCTCCCTCCCCGCACTGCGTGCTCTCGCCGCGCCCGCCCGGTGCCGGCCGGCAGGAGCGTCCAGACCGCGAGCAACAAGCGACCCCCACGAAGGCCCAAGCGACAATGATGCTGCGCCGCTTTTTCCTCTGCGTGCTTCTCCTCGCCCTCTGCTGCGCCTGCGCGTTTGCCGCGGCAGAGGGTCAAAGTGCAACTGCTTCAGTTCCTGATCCTGATGCCGAGACCACGACGACGACGACGACGACGGAGGCTCCTGCCGACACGACGACGACGACGACGACGAAGGCGCCCGAGGGCGACGGGAGCAGGCCGGGCGGCCCCGCGTGGGTGCAGTTGCCGCCGCTGCTGCTGCTCGGCGCGGCGGCGGTGGCGGCGGCCGCGTGACGGGGAGGGTGCGGCGGTGCGTGCGCTGTCGGTCTGGGGTCCCGCCGTCTGCGGCCGCTGCCGCCGTTTGCGCGCGGGAGCACCGACTGGCGCCCTCGCCGTGCCTCTCCGAGAGGC